TGAATTTCTCTCACTGTGTTATACCAATGTTGAATTTTAACCATTCCATCTTTGGCAAGTGTACAGCAGGTCATCAATGATATATTTTATACCTTGGCACTGACATTAACAAAACAGCTCCTTGTGTGTTTATTTTGATTTCTAATTAACAGATGTGTCTTTTAAAAAAGTTGGTATTATTCATTAAAAAGCTGTGATGATGATTGATGTTCATAAAGAATTTTTACTCCTAGAAATTTTGAGTAAATTTAACAACTCTCTTTATAAACTTTAGTTCCTAATTATTCCACTTCTGAGTTTTCATTTCCTGCCTCACTAACATAACTTGTAAATTGGGAATAATTTCATTTAAGATTTTTAAAAATGGATGGTTGCAGGATTTTTAGCAATTATCTGAAAAAAATCTCTAACTAATTTATTTTATTTAAAAAATAAAGAATTCAGCTGTGGTGCTAAAATAAATTTTACTGTAAAGAATAGTATTATGATGGAACAGATCCTATAAAGCTTTGCATACATATGGATTTTTTCACCCTTTTATTATGGAATAATTAGTTTTAGCCCTACTGTTGCATAAACTTACTGATGTGATAGGTTCACTGTGCCTTAGGAGTTGTTTCTCAATGTACTTGTAAGTTTAAGACCTTTTGTTCACAATGTGATATCTTCCAGTTGAACAAATTTTCACAGCACTATCTCTTTGGGTTTTTTTTCCCTAGGCTATGTATACTACTTAGTTTTATATAATCCTGACTGCTCTGCTCAGTTTTCCAGGGTATTTCCTAATGTGATCATTTGTTTTGAATCTTATCAACTTTTAATTGTTGAACTCACTCTCATAGCTGTGGGTTATTCCACTGGCTGTTGTGATTCTTATGATTTGAGTTAATTTTTGTCTAAATATAAAGAGATATGAAGCTATATATATCTTATGGTTTATTTTCTTGTGGAGATTTCTCCATCTTAATGAATTTTTATCTCAGTAAATAGACTACGCTCTTCATCGTGAAAAGTCATGCATTTGAAAATTCTAACATCTAACATCGAAAAATGCTGTGCAAAGTAAAGTAGTGTAAGTGACGAGAAATTTCTGTTTTAAAGTGTAAATATTTGCATTACAACGTTTGCAGTACAAAGAGAATACCTTTAAAAAAAAATTCCCCACGCAAGCATTTATTTAACTCTTAGGTACAAATTATCATACATACAGTTAAAAGCATTTCAACAGAATTTAACTTGTCATGTCTTCATTATTTTTAAGTCTGGCTCCATAATGAAGTGGACAAAAAAGATGATGATATAATTCTATTAAAGCCCCAGCTCATTAAGAGATCTTTTAGAAGACTTCTGTTTTTGTTTATTTTAATAACATACATAACTTTTTTTTTATAAAAGCAGAAAGTCCTAAGTTCAGACAAAAGTTTAAAAAAAACAAAAAAACTGTGATTTATGTGAACAAAAAAATATCAAAATGAAAGAGTGTTTAATAAGATATATTTAATGCATTCCTTTATTGTTTCTGTTACTGAGAGCAGTGCACTCATACTTTAATGCTGGATTGGATTATTTGTTTTGTTAAACTACTTATACATCCATTATTAAAAAAAAGTATTGGCCAATTTAGCATATTACTATTACATAAAATAATTATGCCTTATAAATGCATATAAGAAGTTGATGTCTCCAACTACCCATCTTCAATTAGGAAGATAGAGATAAAGCCTTATCCAAAGCCTTGCCAGTGAGGTGCTTGTTGTTCAAGCATTATAGTACAGTTTGTGAATATTCCAATTCTTCACATCACTACCTGGGTTTTATTCAGGAACATGTATGGACTATTTTATTCTTTAGTAATAAAGCATGGTCCATCAATATATGTATGATCAACATAAATTATACACATTTGCTAAAAACGTGAATTCCAACAGCTTTGAAATTAGCTTAATTAAAAACATAATTCTTTTTTTTGTGTGTGAGCTTTTTAAACAAATAAATTCACTTGAGTTGCCACCTTCATGGATTTTTCACAAGAAATTATTAGCAAGCTGCAAATGACTTGTTGGTGATGTGATAAACTGATCATCAGAAGAATTTTTTTTTAAAGCGTAATTATACTGTACAATATTTGAAAATTTACAGTTTATGTGGAGTTGTGTACTGTTGAGATTTAAAAAATATCCAATGATTTTTTTACAATTTTTAAAAAAAATCATGTAGGCTGCTGAAAATGGAAAATAATAAAATTTTGCCATAAAAATTTTGATTTTTTTTTGTTGAAATTTTATTGCCATTGATTTTGCCTACAGTTCCTCCTTTCTACTCTTTTTTTTTTTCTTTCTTTTTTCTTTTTTTTTTTTTTTTTGTCAATTGATTAATAATTATTATTTTATTTAGCAATTATATCCAACAAGAACTATGAATACGAATACACCTTACAAATATCAATTTTTTTTAATTTTGTTTTTTTTTTGTTGAAATTTTATTGCCTTTGATTTTGCCTACCGTTCCTCCTTTCTCCTCTTTTTTTTTTTCTTTCTTTTTTCTTTTTTTTTTCTTCATTGTCAACTGATTAATAATTAGTATCTTATTCAGCAATTATATCCAACAAGAACTATGAATACGAATACACCTTCAAAATATCAATTTTTTTATAAGATGAAGGATTATAATGGATGAGATGTGTTTCAAAGTAAATTAAATTTTATTGGATGAAATATAATTAATTCTTCGTACATGCTGTACAATGCAGGGGTGTAGTAAAGTTGGTTTGCCTAAGGGGTGGCTGCCACAAATGCCTAATTTTAAGGTGGGGTGGGGTGGGGTGGGGCGCAAAATTTCAAAAGTAAATTAAAAGAAAATAATTTTCAACAAATATTTTAAAACAAAAAAATTGCTTTTAACACAAAAACATTTTCTAAAATTGCATGCATGCGTGTGTGTGTGTGGGGGGGGGGGGCGGGGGTGCATATAAAAATTTATAGTCCACAAATCATAAGATAAGATTCTGTTTTGCATATAAAAACTTATAGTCCACAAATCATAAGATAAGATTCTGTTATTGATCCAAATAAATGGATATTTTTTTTTATTACATAGCACATATTCGTTTTCAGCACATACATAAATATTCTTACCAATACAACTTTTTTAAAACTATTACAATTGAAACAAGAGAGATCTAAAGCATTTCTCAAGCACAAACATCAGCCGTCATTTATCATAGAACTGTTCTACCTCAGTGATACTATTGACTTTTTTAAGATTGATTCTTTGAATTCTGTAACAACTGGTTGGAGGGGTGGGGGGGGTACATTTTTATATCATTCTGTCTGAACTTTGAGGGTTGTAATACTCGCCTAGCCCGTTCATTATGCAAACTAATGCATTGAACAACATCTCGTTTCTGTTTTTTCATTTTCGTCTTTGTCAAGTCCCCAAGGCTAATGTCCAATGATTATGTTCCTTCGGGCAGTCTGTCTCCATGTTTTCCCTTGCTCATTCAATCCGTTTGTGTGGCATCCACGGTATTCCAGTTGGAAACTATTTGCTGTTGTGGTCGGTGTAGCATGTGCCCTGCCCGTTGTGGTAGGTGTAGGATGTGCCCTACTGTGATACGTGAAGGATGTGCCCTGCTGGGGTAGGTTAGGATGTGCCGTAGTGTTTGATGTGCATTGCTGTGGTGTGGGTTAGGAATTTGCTCTGCTGTGGTAGGTGTAGCATGTGCCCTACTGTGGTAGCTGTAGCATGTGCCCTACTGTGGTAGCTGTAGCATGTGCCCTACTGTGGTGGGTTAGGATGTGCCGTAACGTAGGATGTTCTCTGCGGTGGTACACGAAGGATGTGCTTTGCTGTGTTTGATGTAGGATGTGGACTGCTGTCGCCGGCGAAGGCTGTGCCCTGATGTAGCAGCAGGATGTGCTCTTAAGTGGTAGGTGTAGCATGTGAACTCCTCCCCAGACCCCACCCCTCTTTCAATCAAGAGCCACTGGATGTTAGTAATTAAGCTGATTTTCTTGACCTGAAAGATATATTATTTTACTTTAGTTTTGTATATATAGTTGGTATAAACAGAGTCCAGGGATGAAATAAGCTGGGGCCAAATATATCCTCAGGGGCGCCACAACTGAAATGAATTTAGTTTATGTTGGGCGAAGGGGTTGAACTTACTTACAGCTGGCCTGTGTCGCCATTATGCCTCACATTGGCGTGGAGAAATAAAGTGCACAGTAGTGTAGCTAGGTGAGCCAAGATTTATCCCCCCCCCCCCCTTCCATGACAAAAATTCTGCAGTTGGCCAAAAATGCTTCCCTTCATAAAATAAAAAGGTCCCATCCCCCTTTCTACGCCACTGGCACTGCCCACCCGAACATCTTAAATGCCCAGTCCCTCCCCTCCCCTGAAAAAATTTGTCTGAAAGAAACCCTGGGTAAATTAGCAAACGCTTGTGCTGTATGGTTAGGCTGTAATAGACTGAACCTAAGCAAAAACCTAGTGGGTTAGAGGATAGAGTTTAATTTGCTATTTGTAAACTAAAATACGACACCCACACTTTAATAATATTCATACAGCGAAGGAACCAAATGTATTATTGTTTTGCATCTATGACTATGAGGGGTAACATAGCCTATATATGGTTATTATTTAAACATACATATTTGATTCAGTCAATTTAATTATATTCAAAACACAAATAATATAATCATTAATGGAACAAGACCCACAAACACTACAGTGCTAACATGTTTTCTTACTGATTAAATTATCTTTTTTTTTTTTAAACTGTCACGTCAGTCGAATTGAACAGAGTTGAAGACCGTTTGACATTAAATACGCAGATGAATAACTAGCTTAACTATCCCACGCTGGCCAAGGACAAGCGTGACACTTTGATGACCGATACTGCCTGGTATGGCATCAAAATAGCTTCTTTTTTTCCCCCACGGAAGAACACTTTTGGCAAGTTTTGGACAGCACCTTTGTCCAAGGCTTTTCGCCAGCACCTTTTGACAAAGGCTTTGTTTGGGTCTTTTATAAGCTTTATAATAATACAGACTACAGACTGTATTACAGTTCTCCCGTGGCTTATTGTTGGACCGTGAGCCGCATGTCTGATACTGATAGATTCTGATAGACTACGTTGCTGCAACCACGTACTAGCATATGTGCAACGGTTTGGGAAGGAAACGATGCGGCTATTCTAACCGCTCCTAGCGGGTGCCAGGGCAGCCTCGAAACTCTCGATTGATGTCGAGTCCACGGCAGCATTGTCCAGTTGGTTCCAAGCAATATCAATTATTGTTCGTGGGAAGAATGATTATTTATATATTATATTGAACTGTGTTCCGCCGAGGCACATGTCAGACATGTCGTGTCAGAGCATGCTTCTTAATTAATGTTCTTATTCATCGATTTCTCTGCCTCATTTACAATTAACGCCTGGATCATGCATTAAAATACAATTATCAACATTATGATTAGATATATAAGTGGCATATCACGAACAAATAATGGGTTTCCCACAGCCGAGCAGAACCGAACCGTTTCTTCCTTTTTTTTCCCCCTCCGGACAACTTGTTGTCATAGAAACAATCACGTGACGAACGCAGCATCAAGTATGGCGTCCTTTAAGATGCTGAGCGCTTCGACTGGCAGTGGCTCAAAAATATATTTATGGTATTGGTAGGTTTAAATAAAAATGACCATTTTAAGTCTTTATATTTTTTTAGGAGTGAGTTTTCTCATTGTTCCAACGGAAACAAAGTGGATAGAGGGTACCATTAAGACTGAATCGGTAAGTTTGAATTATATTTATTAAATATAATATTATTTATATAAAAAATATTATTTTTATATCAAAACGATTGATTTCATTGATTCACTTTGATTTTGTTTGTTATGCATTTAAATTCATTTGAATTGTTAATTGATTTATTGACCCTTGATTTATTTGCTGATTTATCTATGGAAAATTTACACCAAGGGCCTGTGTAACCATTTTGATGATTTTGACAGATGCCGATGCACAGCGCCGGCACACATACTCAACTCATACAGATACATACACTCTCATACATTATAATACATACATGTCTATATTCTTATACTTATACTATACTTAGTCATAGTAGTAAATCATGATCATGATTAAATTATATGTAAATCTTATATTAATACACTACAAGTTTTTAAGTAGGAGATAGGCTTAATTAAAGTGCCTAGACATGAAACTTGTCTAAACAATATATTATATAATAGAAATTATATATTATTGAAGTATTGCCCATTCCTTTGACTATTTTGATGTCTTTATTGTTTATTAATATATTAACTAACATAAGTAATATTAAATAAATAGGCCTATTACTATTACTTATGCCTCAAAATATGTATAGTAATTATAATTATAATTATAAAAGCATACTTATAATGGATTTGATTTTCTTCAAAATCCAAACTGCATGGAGACAATAAGTTTACAAGATTTCTTGTTAGTAGAATAATCAATTTCTGCAAAAGCTACTTTGATTAATGATGTTTCCTTATCATGTCAAAAGGGCTATACATAATGCATAATGCTGTAACCTACTACTATTATTTTTGACACACCATAAATTTGTCATTCAAATATTTTCCAATAATTTTCAGTACAAATTTCATTGGGCTCACGTATTATGTTTGACTTTTAGAGGGAATGATATATTGTAAACAGAAAATGAGAAAAACAAATTTTGAGAATAGGAATCTTTTGAAAATTATACTTATACCCTACTTGTCAGAAGTATTTCTCATTTAAGGATTTTAACTCATACTATATTGTCTATATTATATCAGTGTATTTTAGTATTTTTAGTTATTCATTCTTTAACCTGCAATATTTCAAGATGCTAATCAATTTTGTGAATTGGTTAGCTCTTTCAGATAAGAGAAAAATAATTTTCAAACACATTATTTGTGATGCAGAAAACATGGGCATCTGCAGAATTGGGGGGGGGGGGGGGGTTGCCGTAAATTACTAACAAGTATTGATAAAATCAACTCAACTAAAAGTTTATTTAATATTTATTAGGACTTATGGAACTGTCAGACAACGTTTAGACAAGGAAATTATGTGATTCCTTTAGTTTTTAATTACTTATTATCCAACTAACGCTCGCATCTTTGACTGCCCCCCCATCCCCCTGTGACTGTAAGACTAACCCTCCCTACTAAAAAACCTGCGGGCACCCATGGCAGGAAAGTAAACCTTTGATGGATAATTTTTTTTATCTTAGCTATTTAAGAAAAAGAGTGGGGATGGTGGGAAGAGGTAGAGAAATAGGGCTTTGTTTATATCCTCAATGGGGATGGGTGGTGGATGGGCCATGTTTAACCCAAGCTTGTGATAACCTGAACATTTTGTGAAATACTATTTTGCAGATGAATATATAACAATTATGAATTGCCTAAGCTTACTTCATGGGTCTTCTCAGAAAAGGGTCACCTTAGTACATTAAAAGAGGCTCACAATTACAGGTGTCAATTTCTGGTCTTTTTTCAAATTATGAATATAATTTTTTTAAAGATAATTTTTTATTCTCAAATGAAGATTATATTTGTGTTTTATTCTTCAACTGATATTAAAACACATACAAAAAAACATGTTAGCAATTTTAGAGTTTTAATTTTTCAGATCATTTTGAAATTTCATATTACTATATGCATGACGACAGATGGGTATTAATTTCTTGGGGCATTAACTTCTGGCTTATTTTACACTTGACCTTTTACCTTTCTAATGCTGAAACTTTAGCATTCCCTTTGACAATGGCTATTATTAGAGTTTCATAAAAAGATGTTCAAAAATATAATGTAAAAAGCTCAGATTACTGGACCTGAACCTAAACCATTTTCAAGATTTACAGAAAACAATAACAAATATTAGAAAGTAGCACAACTATTTCTTGACATCTACCTGGAGCCATTCAAATGTGACAAAATGAATAACTTATCAATAATAAATGTGTACAATTATTTAGACTAAATAATTTCAGTAATTTTAAGTTGCTTTTATTTAACATATGTTGTCTTTTCGCATTTTTTTTGGTTCTTTAATTCTATTTAATATAAGCAGCATAAAATCTATTTTTTTTAAAACAGGAGGAAAAACAGATGAAAGAAAATAAAGAATTTCAATTGGCCTTTCCCTGTACATCAATATAAATTTTATTTTACCACTGTATCAATTAGAGATTTTTTTAATGTTGGAATTATTTTTGAAGTTGAAATAGAAAAGGATTAAATTAGCGAAGTGGCTATTCGCACCCGGGTACCAGAAGTGAGAGGTTAGGATTAAAAAACTATTTAAAATATTATTGTTGGGTTTGTAAGACAAAATGGGATATCAAATGAAAGATAATTGAATGAACTATATGTTTGTAAACTTACTTTTTCAGTTTAACTAAAATAAACTACCACAAATGACAAAAATATTTATTATTAGTACTTGATTTACAAATTTACATTGAGAAACATTTATCTCCCTCCAATACTTTTGCAATGAAGTGGGTTATTGTTCTGTACACTAATTTAGTTATAATTTTTTTCTTCTTCCTATGCCAATACATGTTTTTTCATGCAGAATTTAAAGCTCTGGTGTATAATGGTGACCTCTTCAATTATTGACGAAGGCAAAAATTACAGTATCTAATCAATGAAATGATTTATTGATTATTGTTTCTAGTGTTTGCTTTACATTTTCTACCTTTCAGGATTGGGAGTTTCTGACACGATTTTGCTTCCTCACACAACAAGGAACACTGAGTTATGAGTTTAAATACCCAGTGGTGAGTTGCATGTCTGATGTGAACAAAAAAAACCAACTGATTTTGCTACAAACTTCCTCTTGTTGTTATGAATTTCAATAGGGATCAATAAAAAATTGTAAATGGAATATTTATCTGGAGCTTGGTTCATAAACATTTTATTGAAACCAATCCTGCATTTAATCTATTTGATAAATTTCACAAAATATTATGAGAAATACGATTTTTTTTTGTATACTATGCTTTATATTTTTTAAAATTCACCATTTTTAAACAAAGCCAGCATCAGCTGTCAAGTGTTTTGTGAAAGCATCCTTTAAAAAAAAAATTTTTAAGTTTTATATTTTGCATATTTAATATGAAAAATAGATACCCGCTTAAAACTTGAATTTTATATATTGTATTAAATAATTGTTTCTTTAATGTATATATTTAAAAAAAATTCTCCTCTAAGGAATATGGAGCCCAAGATCTGCTCCTGTACTATGATACACCTGGACAGTGGGATTCTGTGTACCTACGTGGCAAAGTAAGGTGGCTCAGACTGGGGCGTGGTTTGGGTTTGATAATTGTGTATTGGGCGCCGAGGGACGGTTTTATCCAGCTGCATGTGGTCTACTCTCTCTGATCAGGTCTATGTCTAAAATCATCACCTTAGTCATGTATCATGGTATGTCTTCCTGTGCAGGTAAAATAAATCAATAACTTTTTTTTTTAAATATCACGTCCATCATGAGCTGGATTGCTCAATGTTTGTCGGTAGCACGCCATTTATTAAAACCTACATCTTCTTTGAGCCCTCCACTTACACTAAGGTTTTGTGGCAGGTTCAGTTAAGAAAAAAAAATAAAATAATAATAAGAGGTCTTATATAGCGCGGTACCCCAGCTGTACATACAAATTTTATCAAAAAAGACATAATCATGACATTAAAATAAAATACATTTATGAAATAAAGAACAGCAATGTATATTCACCCACCCCACCACAAAACTTTTACAAGGCAAACTATGGACGGCAGCCATCAAGATCGTTTATCGGTCAGAGGAGGGGAATCAGTCAGGGTAGTATAATTTAAATATAGTGCCACAATTCATAGAAATTAAAGTGTTGCCCCATGTTATCTTTAAATTTGTTTTATCTCTTCTCTATATTCTTCTGCTTGCAAAGGGCTTAAATTTAAACTTGTCATCACTTAGGTTTAAGGAAATAAAATTAGCAATGAACTTGTTGGTTTGATTATAAATTACTAATAACACAACAGTTTGGGAAGCACTGCTCCTACTCAGTACACACAGACTCACATTGACTCTGTCATGCATGCTGTTTAATGAGTCAACAGTTTTTCAAGTTCTTTAGGCTGGCTATTGGGAGTGATGTTTGTATTACTGATCATATTTACTGTATCAATAAATGTGCAGAGAACCGTAACTGATTTAAATTCTGCAATGTCTGACACAATCTTGGTTCCATTTTAATAGCTTTGAATTATCCTCCTAGACCAGGCACACCGTAGCTTTGAATTATCCTCCTAGACCAGGCACACCGTAGCTTTGAATTATCCTCCTAGACCAGGCACACCGTAGCTTTGAATTATCCTCCTAGACCAGGCACACCGTAGCTTTGAATTATCCTCCTAGACCAGGCACACCGTAGCTTTGAATTATCCTCCTAGACCAGGCACACCGTAGCTTTGAATTATCCTCCTAGACCAGGCGCACCGTAGCTTTGAAGGAACTGTAATGTTACTGGGGTGGATAACTAAAAGTCATTACTATTATATATTTTTTTTATTATTGTTCATCCTTGGTATGCGAAGAATGATCAAGGCTTCGACTTGAGAAGTAGCTTTGATTTGAGAAGTAGCCTCGACTTGAGAAGTAGCCTTGACTTGAGCTGTAGACTTGACTTGAGAAGTAGCCTTGACGAGCTGTAGCCTTGACTTGAGAAGTAGCCTTGACTTGAGCTGTAGCCTTGACTTAAAAAGTAGCCTTGACTTGAGCTGTAGCCTTGACTTAAAAAGTAGCCTTGACTTGAGCTGTAGCCTTGACTTGAGAAGTAGCCTTGCTTGAGCTGCAGCCTTGACATGAGAAGTAGCCTTGACTTGAGCTGTATTGTGTTTAAAAATGAGGGAGAGTTGCTCCCGTCAGTCTCACTCTTGCCAATTTGTTAAAATGGCGAAACGTAGGCAAGACATTATAAAATAGACCAGGATGCAGTTTCACTTGGCTCTTTATGCATTCCACCTTGCAGGAGTTGTTGGAATCTTCATTTCGTCTATGGCATACCACCTGTGTGGCTCCATCCGTAGGTTTTATTTCAGACTTTGTCTTCTGTTAGATGAGTTGCCATCCAAGTTTAGTAAGTCCCATCTACCCGAGGGCCCTGGTTTTTTTTTTTTGTAAAGGCTTGAACTCCAGTCCACCAGCTTGGGATTGACTCAGTTTAGGTGGCTCAGTCACCCAGCACACAAAGAAGTGGCACACAAGTACAATGGCCCACAGAATGAGGAGAATGCTCTTTCAGGAGATAAGACATTGATGTGTAAAAATAATGTTTTTAAAATGATTTTTTTTAAAGTAATAATAAATTAACACCAGAAGCCCTGCAATCAACCTGTCTAGCAACATTTCAGGAGGTGGGGGGGGGTTATTGATTTGATCTTGTCCACACACTTTTTAGATCTGGGGAGTTATCTGCACCCTAGGGGCAAGGGCTGTTTTTCTAGATCAAACATTCAAGGTGTTTTTGTTAGGTTGCTATTCATCCTTAAAATAATTGTGTTTGCCTGCCAGCTGATCACAAGCATGGTTCACTGACAAAATAAATGCGTGAGATACTGATTGTAAAATACATGTGGAGGTGTCTGCTCCTTGATGTACTTGGCACCATGCTGATGTACTGGGCACTACTTTGGTGTACAGGTCTGTGTACTGCGTTTGCCAACCAGCTGATCGCAAGCATAGTTCACTAACAAAATAAATGCATGAGATACAGATTGTGAAATATATGTGGATGTGTCTGCTCCTTGATGGGCTTGGCACTATGTTGATGTTTTTTAGGCACTACTTTGGTGTACCAGACTGGGTATTGTGTTGATGTACTTGGCATCTTGTTGATGTGCCAGGCACTATGTTGATCAAGCCATTTTTATTTATGTAACATCACATTTTTCTGTTATTCCAGAATTGCTCTGAAAGTATGTCTGTTCTCAATCCTGAGAGTAATCAGATCATAACCCTCTCAACACGCGGTTCTGGGACCTCAGCGTATGTCTGACCAATGTAGTCATATCTAATTGAACATATTATTTTGATTCATGATTGGAGAAAAGCAAATTTTAGTATTATACAAAAAAAAAATCTCTGTTATTTATTACAGTTATACAATTTTTCTTTATACAAGCTCAGTATATTTTGTAAAAGACAACACCAATATATTTGGACTTTGTGTGTAACATTAATTTTATCCTGTTATGAATAAATTCTATGTTGGATTCTGAAAATGTCAAAGTGAAGAAAACAGAATTTTAGAGTAGCACAACGAAAAATTAGACATAATTTTTGGAAAGAAACTTGTTCTCTGTAAAATTATCTTAATTCATGTCCTCTTAAAATAGAAAAGGAATATTGGTGTGTAGCATATGCCCAGCTTTCTCTCCCTTGGATCCAGGCAAAATCACTGTTTATATGTTTAAATGTTACTTCACTTATTCAACAACTCAATTCCTTTATAATAACTCATGGATATATACATAATAGTTAACTATTTATATAAATAATACCCATGTTAACACTATATTTAAGTGAATTTTTTTTGTCTCATATAACATTCTTTAAAAAATTATATTTTTGAACAAGATTTTGAAAGGCTACCATGAAGAAATAGTTCAAGAAACTTCAGTCAACTCTGTTAATAGTGCATTTCTGCAAAGGGGGGCTTTAGAGATTCCATACCAATCATTTTAAAATCTTTTATTTATTAATTATTTACATTACATACATTTTTTAAAATGATTCAATTTTATACAATGTAATCATTTTTGCCTGCACGACATCAAAATGAAGATGAAAGCAAATTTTTATTGATTTATCTATCATTTTAGATAAGGTTTCAGATTTAGAAACATGAAATTTTCATATCTTGTTTCTATTTTGGTTTCTTAATCTTTTTAGATAAAAAAAGTGTGAACGGTGAATTTGTGCCTTCAAGCCTATAATCTTGTTTGGTAACATAATTTAATCTTGGAAACTGGATGATAAAAGTTTACTTTGTTAAAAATAAAACCACAGAGTTATTCTCCACTCTCAAACTCATAAAACCACAGGAGGATACTCCACTTTCAAACCTATAAAACCACAGAGTGATTATCCATTCTCAAACCCATAAAATCGCAAGGTGATTCTCCACTCTCAAACCCATAAAATGACATGGTGATTCTCTACTCTCAAACTCATAAAACCACAGGGTGATTTTCTACTCTCAAACTCATAAAACATTTGTATTTTAAAATTCCTTTCCAGAGTTTTTTTTAATCACTTAAGGCCTAGTTATTTTAATATGTGATGCTATATTTTGAAATCCTTATCATTTCCAGATTTTCTGGTTGTGAGGTGGTAAATACTGGCATAAAACCATGGTTCCATTGTAGGAGCAGACGCAGCTTCAAGTCCTCTAGAGAAAGGTGGTGGTACATGGCTATAGCAAGATGTGGTCCACCTTCTGGTCAGGTCAGAACCTTATTATATTATACATTTAGCTGGTGATGTATGAAGGGGAAGCTGGGGTAATGGTGGTTCCAGCAAAATTAATTTATCATTTTTATTTTGTTCAGGTACAAAATAAATAGCAAGAATTACATATACATTTTCAAGTAATTAAAATGACTCATTTATTAAACTTAATAATTTTCAAAGCTAAGGGTTTTCATAACAACTTTAATGTTTTAATGTTAAGGTCAAGGGCTTGTATTTGGAGTACAAAGTGCACATGACAAATGGAGATGACCTCCTTCATAGAGAATTTTCAGCAGATGAGTTCTGTAAGTTTTTTATTCACCACTATTTACTTTGGGGAAAACAACTTTATTAGTGTTTACAATGTACAAGCAGATCACAATGGAAGACCGAGAATAAGATGGACTGATAATGTAGAGCTGGATTTACATCTCTTGGGAGTCCATTCATGAAGATAAAAAGACAAGGATTGGTCTAAGTGGAAGGATGTGATGAACCAGACCAGAGCTCTCCATTGGCTATAGCATGATTGAAGATGATGATGAATATACATTTTGCAATCCACTAAATATACAGTTGCTAATTGTATCAGTTTTTATTTGCATAACGGATATTTTTTTATCTATATGAAATTTTAGAAATCAGCTTTGTGGTCCATTTGGATTTAGTCAAAAGATGAGATGCAATAAGATGCATTTATTGATCCAAAGAAATGGAAGTTTGTTTTCATTACATTACTTATATTGTTTTAATTCATTAAAGTACTAGTCTGATTTTTTTTTTTTTTTTTTTTAATTTTAACTTGTCTGTAGCAAAGTGTTAGTTGAAACATTGTGAATGTTTTGTCAGAATAACTGTGAGATATATGTGTTCTTGTATGTATGTTGCTATTCTGAAAATATTATGGGCCTTTTGTTAGAACAAAGTTCTCTGCTTTTTTTCAAGATCATGGATAATCCTAATGTCTATTTCTGACTTTGTGACAATCATAATGTCAGTGTCTGACTTGTCTTTGTGACAATCATAATGTCTGTGTCTGACTTGTTTTTGGTGGGGTTTTTTAATCCCACTGTTTGCTTCCCAGATGGTGGATGTGTATATTTTTTGGTTGATGCCTACATAAATGTCTAAAAGTTCCATTTAAACGTTATTCATGATATAAATACAAGACTATCAGTCCGAAGCATAAATAACACTTACTACTATCTTGCTACCAGTTAAAAATGATTCCTTGTCTTATGAAAAATAAAAGCAATGGTGAATGGATTTAAATTTCACACAAAAGATGCGATATTAAAAATAAAAATAAAACATTTTTCAGATTTGAGACTGCGCGTATGGAATATTTGTTTTCTTGACCCACATGGAAAACTTCTCTAAACCATAACATCTTAGCAACACTGAAAAAAGTAACCAAGATGGCTGAAAACAAAACAAATTCTTTAAGTTTTGCCATGAAGCTTCTCAGATGATTAAGTCCTCCAAATACATAATACATACTCAGGAACTCAGCAATTACTCATACAGCACAATTGCCACAGACTAATTTTAAGGAACAACGGAAAACTCAAAACTAGTATTTTGAGGACTGAAAAAATATATGTACAATGAACAAAAAGAACAAATTTCCATTTATTTGGATCCCTAAAAGTATCTTATGTTATAATATGATATTTTTTTATCTTCAATCCCCAGATATCCTGCCTGTGGACATAACTTTCTTCTTAATGTACATAATTATATGCATATTGTCCCTCATTTGTGCTGGTATGTATCTGTTTAATCATGTCATATTCAGGTCTCTTAGTACTTAAATTACTTCTTCTCTAGCATTTTGCACAGTTCAGACCGAGTAAATTTTTACTCTACCAACAATGGCGTAGAAAAATTAAAAATTAGTTTTCTAGGATTAAATTCCATATACATTGGCAAGTACTTTCTATCCAAAAATGTTTTTTATAGCTTTGCACAGCTGATTGGCTCAATAGTACTTCATTTTTGTTCTATAGAAAAATCTTTTACTTACTTTTTAAAAGATTTACTGTTACAGAACAAAAGATATTTGCATATTTTTCAAATAAGTTTAGGAAATTCTTATGATGATTTAGACATTTTAAAGACTAGTTTCACATAATCTGCAGCTGTCCTTCGAAGGCGGCAGCTATTTCACACAACCTACAAACTTTATTTGGCTTCCATTTTTATTTGGACACTACATCTACTTCTGAAGGTGATAGCATGGGGATATTATGGGACCACTGGCTGGGAAGCAAGACCCCTTGAAGTTACAGGTCAGGTAACCTTTTAGTTCTGCAAACAAGCTTCAAGTGAAAATAAATTTCTAAAATACTATTTTAAGTGAAAAAAACCCACCATAAGCCTCTAACAACGCTGAAACTTATCATATAAAAACCAAACTAAAATATAAGGCAAATTTAAAATATACCAAACACTAATTTTTAAAGATTTTATTGGTGTTTGTGAAGATAAGATGGTGCTAATATCCACTCATTATTATATTCTTCAACAACAAACTTTAAAGAATGGAATTAAATATAGGCATACCTGTACAACAAATATAAAAATTGCAATTTTTAAAATGTTTGATTCAATTGAACATGAAAGTGCCTGCAAAATGAAAAATTCAATAGTTAAACTTAATTAATTTAGAATGATGTTAAGTCATTTAGAATTTTTTTGTTGAGCAGTGGTTTGGACGGTGCTCTTTTGTTAAATAATTTCAATTTCTGCAATAAATTTTATTAAAAGAACAAGATGCAAGCATAATTAGGATGTCTAACGACTCTTTATATCATTAGATATAATGTTTTACATTTCTATTTATTTTCCCTAACAAAGTCTAATATCATACACAGGACGCATACTTCAAATGGCGAGCACCATCGTTTTCATCTTAATGCTCATCCTGATGGCAAAAGGCTTCACCATCACACGGGGACGTCTCACTAGAATTAGCACCATTAAAATAACAGCTTTTTTTAATGCCTTCGTTGTTGTCATCGTGGTGCTCTTCATTTGGGAAGGCTTGGTATGTAAGCTCTTTTGTGTTCTATAAATAGCTGTGAATAGCACTTGTAGTGCAGTGGTAACATTTTCAATTTCCTCATCAACAATGAAGCAGCAGGTTGGAATTCATCTGGTGTAACACTTATCAATAGAGAAATATGTGGGTGGAGTTTAACTTAAGTAAAAAATAACTATTTTGTATAAGATATCTGATTGATTCCATTCATACTTGGTTTTTTTTTACACCTCAGCCTCATATTTTTATTTATTATTTGCTGAGTTGGCTCTAACATTTCCATTCAAACCATGCCTTTTCAGTTGTTTGACCCTGGCCTGGTGTTGTATTATTATGAGTCCCCACCAGGTTATGGCATAGTCTCTATGCACCTACTCGGCTGGCTCTGGTTCCTCTATGCCACTGTCTTTACACTGAAGCACTCGTCAAGTCAGAACCAGTTTTACATTCCATTTTTTGCTTTTTACACCCTATGGTGAGTACCAGGTGCTGTGTTGTCATTATTTTGTACCGGTACATCCAATATATACTTTGTCACACAATGCCTTGTAATATTTAGACATAAATTATTCTTATGAAATATAGATTTTAAAAAATTTAGTTTACAAAATTCACATTTTATCTTTTAAATAATTTTCATTCATCATCGAGCCTCTTGGTCAATGCATGAAATATATCATGAATTTAATGAGAACAAAAAAAAATAAAAAAATAAAAACACTTTCATGATAGGTGTCATTGTTTCCAATATTTTAAATTTATGCTATGTGTTTCTAAACTTATCTGTAGTCCATTCACTGCAGGTAAAAGAACCGGATAAGAACCTGAAATAAGCCTAGATATTTATTCTAAAAAAATAAACAGATTTTCATAATGATTTCTAGCAATGCCATTTAATATGAAGACAACACAAAATGTCTATTGAGCTAGATCTTTATAGTTTGTCTACATGTATTTGTCTCCATTTAGTTCATATGAGGCTTCAGTTTCAAAAATTATAATTTTGTTACATAAATACTGTTATTCTCTATCCCCAGGTTCTGGGCTGGTCCTATCATAGTTCTGATTGCAATGTTTGCCATGGCCAAATGGAGCAGAGAGAAGACTGTCAATGGAGTTGAGCAATTTGTTGGCTTCTGGGGACATATTTTCTTTCTGGTTTGTCATTTCTTTTTATTATACTAATGACTTTTAACACATTTATTTCAAACTAAGAACACATACAAAAATTACCTCATCAGATTTAGCTGCACCTACCAAAATAAGTTTAATTTTAATTAGAAATAATTAGAATTTTATATTTCTCAATTTAGCATATTTTTATTGTAATTTCACTGACCTATTTCTAACGTTATTTTAATTTTATTTGTTATTTTCATATTCTCATAAAGGCATTAACAAGACCTAATGCTGCCAATAAGAATTTTCCCTATCATGTTCGGACTTCACAGGTAAAATATTGTACACTTGCTATGACTTAAATTTTTGGACACCAATTTATAATTTAAAAACACATTTTTAGCATTACAAATTATTTTTAAATAAAGTCATTTAAGTCATACAAAAATTAATTAAAAGTACATTTACTAAATAATAATCTTAAAATAAGAAAAGGGAAAATCAAATAGTCTTTTTAAGACACAAATTATTGTCTTAATTTAAGGAGCGTTCCTTAAAATAATGTATGTGTAAATAACTATCCATTGTTTTAAATATGAAGTCATAAATAATTCTCATTTGATTTTTGTAAATTGAAATCATTTTGTTTATTGGAATTCATTGTAATTTTTGTTAAATTCTCCTATAAATATAAGTATCATATAATTTATTGTTATTAATTTACCGTTTGTTATCTAATATTAAGTTGTTGTTTTGTTAAATGCATATCAGATTGGATTTCTGGACACAGCTGACTTAGAAAAGAAAAACAATCCGTACGTTGTCAGTTCCCGGGTGGCATTCTCAGGATCTGGGCCAAACTTGGAGTTCTTCATTACCTCTAAAACATCTGACAGTGGAGGACATGGTGATAATGCTTTCTTTCCTCCTATTGCTACAGATATGGCTGTGTCTAAGGAATCACAGGGGCCTAAACTCAAATATGTAAGCTAAACAGAATAATGGAGTTAAGTGCAAAACAGTGAAACTACTCTCTGTCTATAATATTATATATTTAACAGTCTGGGTTTCATTCCACCCTCAATATTTAAGAAGCCAATGAAATGCTTTTACTGAAATAAATTTTAATATAAATTAAATATGTACATAGTCAATGGCTTTTGTCTAAAGCTACGCAAATTGATTTTTCCTTACTTATGGATGAACAACTATAAAATGAATAAAACACAGGTTGGGGGGGGGAAGAAAAGGACACAAAAGGAGTGGGGGGGGGGGGGGTTGCATAATGCAAGTAATGAAAACTGCTTAAAACAAATTATTTAATATTAGAATAAGCTGCCAAAAAATGGCAGTAGCAGTGCATGAATTAACTGTCCATCTTATAAAGTTACTTCACAAAATATGCATTCAAGTAACACACTTTAATGCCAACTTCTGGTAATTTTTATATGCGCCTATTGAACACAGTATTACAGCCCTACATGCATGCCTAGAGAATTTTCATTTGTGATTTGGCCTGGCATTTAAGAACAAAATTTTTTGAACGCTGCATATACCAGACACACCATTCTAACACAAGGATAAGTTAAAGATTGTTGTTTTTACACCTTATCATAGCATTATTTATTTGGTACAGGTCGGCCAGAACATACCAAGTGTTGACAACAACAATGAAGGTGTCATCACTGTGATCAACCCCAACAACAGCATCAACAACAACAACACATTCAGTGGAAATACTGCTGCACTCACACCAAGTGAACATCACAGCTTGACCCATGATTTAAATCCTGGAATGACGACTCTAGCCCCACTCAGGGGAGCCAGGTTGCCCCCCTTGTTCCCATCTGCCCCTCCTGCCGGTGGATTGCCATTGGTCAGACCGCAATGACTATAAAGTGTATTTTAAGAGAACGAGTCATTGAACCTGCATTAATTCTTTATGAACTCTTCAACATAGTTTTGGAAATGTGTAATTTCTTTGCAAAAGTTTTTGCTCCTCCCTCAAATTTTGCTTTCTCAGACCCAGTTGGAAAGCGCTCCAATCTAGTCATGTAAAGTCATGTCAACAACTTCAAAGATCAGGTGAATCTGGTTAGGAGTAACTTACAGGTTTTTCAACAAGAGCTTTGTGATACAAATGGTTTGGAGACAGCAAATTATGGGCAAAAATTTTAAATGCTTTCATTAAGAACTTTAAAAAAAAAAATTAGCATCTGTATGACTTAGCATGAAGAAAGAATGATGTCTAAATATAATTCATCAAAATCTGATGTGGAGCCTGCTCAAATTGTAAAATGATACAAAAGATTGTTTCCTTTCCTGGTATCTTTATGACTATAATTACCGTATTTTTTGGCTTATAACACGCCCCCGCATATAACACGCACCTAAATTTAAGAAGGAAATTTCAGGAAAAAAAACTAAACATTATATTGGCATATAACACGCACACATGATTTGCCCCCTATTTTCAGGGAGAAAAAGTGCCTGTTATACGCCAATAAATACGGTAAATCTGAATAGTCATTCTGTGTTTCAAATAATCATATTTTTTTATTACTTATTTATAAATTAATAATACTCTTCTTCATGTCCCAGATGACAGTTTTTGATTGGTGCATGAAAATGTAAGATTTTTCTAAGCTTAATCATGGTCTAATCCTTTTTTATTCTGTGGTTATTTTTTTTTTTTAAACCTCATTGTAACTTACATTAAATCTGTCTTCATCTAGTCTAAACAAATGTAGATATAGATTTAGTTAAATGTAGACCTTCTTGTTGAATATACCATACTTACTTTTGAAAAAAAAATTTGAGCTTTAAACTCTAAATATCACTTTCAACTATATATTTCTAAAATAATCTCATTCAGTGTATTTTTTTTATTTTGAACGATGTTTGGCCAATCATCTTTATGACATCATCCTTCGATGGTCCCTGGAATCATTTTAATTTATATTCATTATGTGTATTACCAATGGGTAAAAATGCCTGGTGCTTAAATGTATCTAACCAGACAATTGAAACGATGATGGCTACCTTGTTTAAATCATATTTTATCTCTGTTACATTTGCTATCAATTTTTTTTTGTACTGTTACTTATTGGAACAGGTTATTTTTAAAAAAATTTCATGTAAAAATCTTTATATAACCTTATATATATGATTACCAATTACATCATAAAGGCCTAGTTAATACTTTTTAATTAAAAAAAAATAAGGTTGATGAATAATAGGCCCCTATACATTATTTTTTTATGGATTGTGACATTTATTTTTTTGGTCAAAAGTTATATTTGCAGCTTAAGTCATTTGCACTGGCCAGCAATTTACTGACTCCCAGCACCTCAAATGTCTGTGCAGGACAACATTTCTTCTCCTCCTCATGTCTTTAGTCAGACTAACAGGGGGTTGTGCAAAAAAAAGACCCAAGAAATAACTTAAACTCAATAAACTTAAACAATTAAATTAAATTTTATTTTTCATGATAAAAAAAAAAAAGGCAATCACATTCCATTGAGATCTTGGTGCTTCATGCATAAACTTATTTCTTAACATTACAAGAATAATATTTCTGAGCACACTGGGTTTTTTGTGTGGTTCTTTTCTTGCAATGACGCCAATGAACAGAGTTCTGAATGTGTAATACCTGGACGCTTCCAAAAGCTTGGCCTAATTTTTTATATTCTTCTCTTTTCTCAGTGGCAATGAAAACAAGAAGGTCCAGAACAAGTTCCAGAATAAAAATGTAGAAATCTTCTGGATATATTTTGTTTGGCTTATTAACATAATTATGTCAGTAAGAATATTTCCATAGAAACATAACTATATTGCTACAGATTCTTTTTTTAAATAACATTTTTTTTAAATTCTTAGATTTTAAAAATTAAAAAAGTTGCTCCATAACATTAAAACATTTGTAACATATTCTTACTTTTGTGAAGAATTATTTTCATATATTTAAGTGGATCGAAAAAGGCGTATTACTCATCAAAATATGAAACATTTTAAAATAATGCTTTGTTTTCATTGTAACTACTCAAGACACGGATATTCTAATCTATAAAATCTATTTACAAATCTCATAATGTGTACCTGATCAAATAAAATATTGCTTTATGAATCTGTTGCTCCAGCTTTGTGTTGAATCCATCCTGCATTTATTATGCAAATTTGGTAAATTTTATAATATTATTGATTTATTTCGTTTGACTTCTTTTGATTGAACTTTTTTTCTATATTTATTAAAGTTAAAGACATTTGATCTAACTATCAAACATAATTGCAAGCCCAAATTAACCATAGTAAAAGAAATCGACGATAGCCATAGTAAAAAGAAACTGCCCATAGTAAAAGAAATTGATCATAGTGAAAGGAAAAAAAGAATGGACCATAGTAAAAGAAAAAAAGAAATTGACCACAAAAAAAAGAAAATTGACCATAGTAAAAGAAATTGACCATCGTAAAAGAAATTGACCAAAGTCCTTGTACAAGAAATTGACCTAAGTAAAATATGTTAGACTACAATCGAATTTAGAAGGAAAACAAAAAGCCTTTCATTTTTTTCCGTGAGCGTATTTGCAAACTTGGTTTTGTTCCTATTCTTTTTATTCATTGAGTGTTTTCATGTAGGCCACAAACGTAACACGGACTGTGCACTGGATTTCAGTGTCATCAAAGCAGAGACGTAAATGAAGTCTTAAAAAATCTTAGGTTAGCACTATTTCCTACAACGGATGCTGTGATAAATGCGGGCAAAGGTAACATTTGGTTGGTATCTAAGAGTATTGCATAGCGTCTAGGCCAGCGTTCCCCCAAAGGGTGGCCCAGAAGACGTGAAAATATCTCGTAACAAAGGGGGATATTATTGAATTAATATAATGCTGTGTCATTGACACTAGTATGACAATTATTACGCTAATCAGAAAACATGTTAAACTTGTCTCCCCCTCTCCCACCCCCACGGGCCCACACTCTCCCTGCTTCTCAGCGACTTCTTATTGTAAGCGTTAACGCCTTGTTTATGCTTCTGACTATAAAGTGATTGCATCACATTTTTGGGCCACCCTGTATATAATATATTACACTTGACACATTTGCATCTTTTGCCTCCTGTCTTCCAAACCCAGTTCATAAAACCCTTGCTGAGTAGCCCTTGCAACCAGTGAAGTATCCCCTTGAAAACCATGCACAGTAACATCGCGAACCCCTCTGAAACATAATATGAGCCAGAATGATCAATCCATTGATCGTGGGCCCTCAAAATATAGAAGAAGAAGATATATATATATATATATATATATATATATATATATACTATAAGCAGAGTTATGTGTGGCGTAACTAGTGTTAGTGCCACCCGGGGTGGGGCTAGATTGTTGCCACCCCTCCTTCGTTGAAAAAAAACAACTCTGTAGTTCGCTAAGTTGGCCGAAAATGCCATCCGTCCTTATAGGGGGAAAGGGGGGGGCGCCCCTGGCGGATCGCCCTCTCCACAACCTTTTACCACGCAACTGCCCTCATCTGACTGGCAAACGGGGTCCGTAAAACATAAAAGGCTTAGGGGCGGTGCATATATTATTTAACGCGAAGGAGAAAGGTGTCGTTTATAATTTGTTATATGGGTGGGGGGTGTGGGTGGTAGAGAGCAAATGTTATATAACAATTATTTTCATTAAAAAAAAAAAAATCATTCTTATTTTTGAAAAAAAATTCTGCTTTTCTGATTTATGAAATTGGAATAGATTATTTAAAAAAAAACTAAAATATATCTTTTACGTTAAAAAAATAAAGCACATTTTGTTTAAAAAACAACAACATGGTTTTTGCTTGAGATGTGGTTGTTTCGAATTGTCCTTTAAAACTTTATTTGGTTTTCTCTGGGTGTTTGGGAAAGCGGAGGGCTGCTCCAAACTGTATAATATGCTATATGATGTGGGGTGGTGAGGGTGTCAATGGAAATGTTTTATAACATTATAAAGGGGTAGGTGGGTGGGTCAAAATATAATATTTTTTGTGTGTTCATAACATGTGCACGGCCCTTAAATAGAAGTTTTGGACTGAGGCGGTTTGACGCAGAAGTGCATATGAATTAGATTTAAATTGAAATATTTTTCGTTTAGGTTTTTTGATATACATGTGTACAGCGTGGGGGGGGGGGGGGGGGGG